AAGTGTGGATCATTGTAAATTGGAATGTTGTAAGTCAGGGCTCTGTTGTATTACAAAAACTGCAGTCAGGATATGCTCTTTCTAGTCATACGTAGCAACCAATACCTTCTAAAAAGTAGTAGGAAAGAAAATACTGTAATCCATAAATTATAGGTTTTACTAAAGGTGAACATTGGATGATTTGGTTATGATCCTGACCGAAAGTAAGGGTTGCATTGTTGCACTGATAAGTTGTTTGTCCTCTTCTCTGAAAAGAGACTTTGACATAAAGGTCAGAATGGTTAAATGTAATGGAGTATACTGCCACCACCATTTTCAGAATTAAATATTACTTTTTTAAGGTAAGAATCTCATTTTTACCTTTTATTTTTAATTTTTTTCTTTTTTTTTTTTTATATTTTAGGACAAAGGTGACTTTGATGGAATATCTCGAGTTTTATTTGGGAACAGCTTGGAGTTCTGGTTGCACCGGCTGCTGTTCCTTGATGCCGTATCCTACCTCAGCATGGGGCGCATCTCTGTTTCTCTGGATCGCTATGTCCTGGTTGACATAGATGACATTTTTGTGGCAAAGAAAGGGATACGTATGACTGCAGATGATGTAATGGTGAGGCTAATAACATTTTGTGTATCTTTTGTTTAGGAATTAAAACACCTTACTCATTGCTAAAATTGCTAAAAAAAAAAAAAAAAAATCAGTACTGTATAGATTTGGCAAAAAAAAAAAAAAATGGTTAACTATGTAATGCTTGGAATCATTGCCAGGTCATCTACAAATTGCTTCCTTAAATACTGATTTGTTACATATGATTAAAATCAATACAAAATAATAAATTGTAGTAAAGAACCATCTTAATATGTATTAATTTTATTACCATTTTAATACTATAACCATTAGAAGATTGGTAATGAGTGAATGTAAATTGTAAACAGATCTTAAGAGCCTTTAATATTTGCAGGCTCTTCTGGAATCTCAAAATCGTCTTCAAGAAATGGTTCCAGGCTGGAAATTTAACCTGGGATTCAGTGGCAAGTATTACAAGAATGGCTACCCTGAAGAGAATGTTGGAGATATGACACTGTTAGGTTAGTATGAGAATTAAAGTTTTTGTAATTAAGTTTGAACATACATCCTTGAAGATTGGTTATCTGTTTTTTTTTTTTAACACGTTGGTCATCTCCCACTGAGGCAGGGTGACCCAAAAAGAAAGAAAACCCCCAAAAAGAAAATACTTTCATCATCATTCAACACTTTCACCTCACTCATACATATTGACTGTCTTTGCAGAGGCGCTCAGATTTGACAGTTCAGAAGTCCCTCCAAACTGCCAATATTGCAAACCCCCTTCTTTAAAGTGCAGACATTGTACTTCCCATTTCCAGGACTCAAGTCCAGCTAACCGTTTCCCTGAATCCCTTCACAAAATATTACCCTGCTCTGACACCAACAGCTCGTCAGGTCCCAAAAACCATCCATCTCCATTCACGCCTATCTAACACGCTCACGCAAACTTACTGGAAATCCAAGCCCCTCACCCACAAAACCTCCTTTACCCCTTTCCCTCTAACCTTTTCAAGGATGACCCCTACCCTGCCTTCCTTCCCCTACAGATTTATACACTCGAAGTCATTCTATTTTGCTCCAACCACTCTACATGTCTGAACCACCTCAACAACCCCTCCTCATCTCTCAGGATAATAGTTTTGGTAATCCCACACCTCCTCCTAATTTCCAAACTACGAATTCTCTACATTATATTCGCACCACACATTGCCCTTAGACATGACATCTCCACTGCCTCCAGCCTTCTCCTTGTTGCAGTATTCACCACCCATGCAAGAGTGTTGGTATAACTATACTCTCATACATTCCCCTCTTTGCTTCTACGGACAAAGTTATTTCTTTTAATATAGTATATCTTTATATTACTGTACTTTTATTTGTTTGTTAATTTGAATCATTAGTGTTTTCATTACTTGCAATTTTTTTTTTTTACATCAGTAGTCATCTCCAGCCAAGGTAGGGTAACAAATTTACCATCATTTAAAAATTTCTATTTATTTTCACAGAGCATGTGAATGATTTCTGGTGGTTTGGTCACATGTGGGGTCACACACAGCCTCACTTACTCACACAAACAGACCTCGAGGAACAGATGGAGCTCAATAAGCAGTTTGCTGTTAGCCACAATATACCAACTGACTCGGGTAAGTTGGGCTATAAGTTTCTTCTTGGTTTTGCTACAACCAGCAACACTATCAGTTAGTTGTTAGCTTTTAATTTTGTGTGAATTTTCCTGTATTCAACAGGGATAACCTGTTTCACAGTTTCTAGTAGTTCCTAGCTTTAGATGTCATTGTACCATAGGAATGGTAAAAATCTAATGTACAGTAAGGGCCCCACTTATATGGCAGGTTAGGTTCCAGGCTACCGCTGGCAAGCAGAACACCAGATAACAAGTTTACACTAAGTTAGCAATAGAACTAGGCATTAAAAAAACAATAAAAAGTAAAATACACACACAGTATACTCATTATTTACCTCAAAATATTTGTAGACGTAATGTAAGGCAAAAGGTGAGTAGTATTTATTGTAAGAAGTCAGGTGTGGGTAGGTATGGTAGCCCTCCTGGCCACCCCACCCACGCATAATATAGTACGACGCTTAAAGCGCCCTAGAGTGATAAAATACATATACAGTACACTCATTACTTGCCTTAAAATATTTGTAGTCTTAATGGTCTTAATGTAGGGTGAGAGGTGAAAAGTATTTATTTGTAGAAAGTCAGGTGTGGGAGGTAGGGTAGTCCGCCTGGCCACCCCACCCACACAGAGTGCTATGTAAACAAATGGATGAAGTGTCCAGTTATGGTTCATACACGTTCATACAAACACCTTACATTGTGTACAAGTTGTCTCCACTGTGGTACTGTAGAATAAATAAAGACCAACACTTCCATTCTCATGGAACACCATTTTTAGAAGGAATGAAGCTCTGACAAGTTAGTACAGAATAAATGAACAACACTACTCCCATTCTCATGCAACACACCATTTTTAGAGTGAATGGTATTATTATTATAATAATTATAATCATAAAAAAGAAGTGCTAAACCCACAAGGGTCATGAATAGCTGTAGATAGAGTGAAGGCATACGAAAGGAATATTTTTCTACAGTTAAGCAACTGGTGTTTGACTAGAGAAAACGTAATTCTTTCATCACCCCTATAAACCGCTTGGTAAACAGATCTCATATTTGTCAATTTTTATACTCTAGGTGTATGTATCATGTTTATATGTTACGTAGCATGTTTATTACATAATTTTGAAAAAATATCATAGATGGATTAATGGAAATGTCTATATTAATGTAATATACGACATTTAATGCGCCCAAGAAATTATTATATGACGTCAAGAGTAGAGAGAGACTTAGTGATTTTAATGTGTACCTGCACTCCAGTACAGTATGTAAGTATATTTAGGTACAGGTACACTTAAGTATAATTATCAGAGTACATACATATAAAATATTCAGTAACTTTAAAACACTTGAAATTTTGTAAAATTTCTGGATATAATAAAGAGATGTGCTCACGGAGAATGTAAACAAACTGGGTGGAGCGCGCTGTATTAGAAAGACCGCTAGCTGTATAGCAGGTTTTGGTCATAATTTGAAATCCCCGTATTAGCGGAGTGCCGTAAACCAGGGCCGTACTGTACTGGTATTTTATTAATATTACTTAAGGAATTCAGTGAAAAGGTTCTAAGCATTGGATGAGTGATGATGCATCTTGGAAATGAGGGAGGATAAAAATGTTGCAATAATATAACCGTTTATGAGGTCCTGTTTATTAGGGTGTAATGTATGTATATTAACTGTATAGCTTTCTTGTCTTGTAATTTTACTCACAATTAACCTTCTGTTAAATTAAGATTTTTTTTCTTTGGGTATACCAAACCATGTTTAATTTTACTGAATGATTTTTATTTTAATATTGAGCAGGTTTTGTTTTTTCTTCCATGAATTGCCACTCAGAGCTTGTTGAAGATATGCAAGTGTTTCTATCCATCATCACAAAGGGATTGATAAAAAATTTAATGATAAAATCCCAAGAAATTTACACTTGCATGTTTAAAGTTTGGCTATGCAAATTAAGCTACCAACTAATAGACAGATTTTTATTTACTGAAAAAAGTTGTAGTACAGTACTAGTTAAGGATCTTAAATGGAACCTAAGTTACACAATAGGTGTTTGGATATTAAGTTTTTTCTTGTATGGAACACTTTCTGATATAGTATTTATGTTCATTAGGATATGGTGTAGCCCCTCATCATTCAGGTGTATATCCTGTCCATGAGCCACTGTATGATGCCTGGAAGAAAGTGTGGAATGTGCGTGTTACATCCTCAGAAGAATATCCTCACTTGTATCCTGCTCGTCTTCGGAGGGGTTTTATTCACAGAAATATTATGGTGAGTTAGTAAGTTCTTAAAGTTTACTCACGTGACTAGTGGATACTTTAACAATACGAAATACAGTACATGTATTTGATTCTGGCGCTAAAGAATTGTTGTTTTATTAACTTGTTCAGCATTGATGATGTTATTGTGAAGAAATGTTTTTACATTTATAAGTGTATATCTGAGACATTTATTCACCGAAATTGACAAGCACCCCCACAGTTACATTGCATAATCAGTGTGTAGATGGGTGCTACCATCTTCATTCTGTATAACTGATCAAAAAATTTCTCACCACCAGGTGCTACCAAGACAAACTTGTGGCTTATTCACTCACACTGTATTTATAGACAAGTATCCTGGGGGACGTGAAGTACTTGATGCCAGTATCCATGGAGGGGAGCTCTTCCAAACTATTGTGTTCAGTCCAGTAAGTTTATGCTGGTTTTGTGTGCAAGGGGCTTAGATATACAGCAGTCATGTGTGAGTGTGTTAGATAGGAGTGAGTGGAGACAAATGGTTTTTGGGACTTGATTAGCCGTTGGAGTTTGAAAAGGGTAATATTTCATGAAGAGATTCAGGGAAACCGGTTAGCCAGACTTGAGTCCTGGAGGTGGGAAGTACAGTGCCTGCACTCTGAAAGAGGAGTTTGGGATATTTGCTGTTGAGAGTGACATCTAAAGTGTTGTATCTGTGCACCTCTGGCAAGACAGTGATAATGTAAATGATGGTGATTCTTTTTCGGGTCACCCAGCCTAGGTGGGAGATGGCCAGCATGTTAAAAAAAAATGATCTAAACTAATATTTTCATGCTGCTTACTATTTTTGATACCTAATCTTCTCTGTTTAACATGATTTAATCACCAGATTTTTCTTTCTTTTTGGGTCACCCTGCCTCGGTGGGAACGGCCAATGTTATAAAAAAAAATTGTCCATGCAACGGGCTAGTAACCCTTCACCTGTATAAATTACTAAATGTAAAAAGAAAGACTTGTTTTTCTTTATAGGTCACCCTCTTTTGGTGGAATGAGGCTGGTTTGTTAAAAAAAATATTTATCCATTTTAATCCTATGATATTTTACAAGTTGTCACTTTTCTCTGTTTAGCAAATGTTAATTAGACATTGCGATGTGATTTTCATAAGCCAGCGAAATGTTTACTTTGATTCTTTATGTTGACAGGTTATATAAAACCACATTTTTTAATACTTTGTAAATAATGGCTCCTGTTCAGCTCTTTAACCTTTGTTAGTAATACAGTACTATTATATTTTGGTTCCTTGCTTGAACATTTTTTCTGAACTTCTGCTTTTATTGGAATCTCTATGGAGGTGAATAAACTCTGTACCTGTTGAGACTAAGAAACAGTTTTGGAAAGAGATAAATGAGACAAGAAAAGCTGGGGACAAAAAAAAAAAAAAAAAGCCTGGGAAGCAAGAGGGCACAGCAGTTATAAATGTGGTGTTATGTTGAATGAGTAGGTGGAAGTATTGGAAAGATTAAAGAAATGTTTTGAGTTACAAGTTCATGGTGAAAGAAAGGTGATTTCATGCAAAAGACTGGGAAGAACAAATGAGCCAGAGGCAGGTGTAGAGGCAGTGGGCAGGCTTCAAGGGATTGAAATAGTGGGAATAGATGGAATTAGGAGAAGGTGTGGAGTTAATAAAAGTATTAGTCAGAGGGCGAAGAGGGGTTGTTGAGGTGGTTTGGTCATTTTGAGAGAATGGATCAAAGTAGAATGACATGGAGAGCATATAAATCTGTAGGGGAAGGAAAGCGGGGTAGGAGTCATCCTCGAAAAGGTTGGAGGCAGGGGGTAAAGGAGGTTTTGTGGGCAAAGGGCTTGGACTTCCAGCAAGCGTGCGTGAGCGTGTTAGATAGGAGTGAATGGAGATGAATGGTTTTTGGGACCTGATGAGCTGTTGGAGTGTGAGCAGGGTAATATTTAGTGAAGGGATTCGGGTAAACCGATTATTTTTATATAGCTGGACTTAAGTACTGGAAATGGGAAGTACAATGCCTGGACTTTAAAGGAGGGATTTGGGATATTGGCAGTTTGGAGGGATATATTATATATCTTTATATATGCTTCTTAACTGTTGTATCTGGGCACTTCTGCAAAGACAGTGATTATGTATGAGTGAGGTGAAAGTGTTGAATGATGATGAAAGTATTTTCTTTTTGGGGATTTTCTTTCTTTTTGGGTCACCCTGCCTTGGTGGGAGATGGCTGACTTGTTAAAAAAAAAAAAGGACTCGACTCCATGGGGAAGTGAAACAGAATTCTTCCTTCATAAGCCATGCGTGTCATAAGAGGCGACTAAAATCCCAGGAGCAAGGGGCTAGTAACCCCTTTTCCTGTATACGTATATTACTAAATTTCCAAAGAGAACTTTCGTTTTTCTCTTTGGGCCTCACTGCCTCTGTGGGATATGGCTGGTTTGTTGAAAGATGATGATGGAATTAAGAGCTGAGAAGCTGAAAGCAGGCTGGGATACAGTTTAAAATAGTTGGTGTATTTCTTTAATTTTATTTTTTAAGACACAAGTCTTCTCCCACCAAGGTAGGGTGACCCAGAAAACTGAACACTTTCACCATCACTCATTCAATAGCTTTCTTGCCAGAAGTGTGCAGACTTTACAGGTCAGATGACCCACTGAACTGCAACATTCCTACCCCTTCTTCAGAGAGGAAGAAAAGAGTTGCCTACTACAGAATATAGCATTCTTAAAAAAAAATGAGAGAGATCAGTATACGTATAGTAAATTGAAATGGAAAAGATACTGAATGTGTGGAAGGAAAGGAGCCCCACTTAATGCACTTGATCAGAGAAACTGAAAATATCCTCCTCATCCTTGGATTTAACCTAAATGCCTCCCATTCCCCAGACACTATTTGACCCTTATGGGTTTAATGCTTTTTTTTTGCGAGAAGGATGTTGAATCTTCACAAAAGTATTTGTCTGGCAGACTTTTACACTGAAAAAGACTCTGACATGTCTGAAAGCATTGCTGTGAAATAGGGTCTGGAGCAGACATTGATATCATATCATCACTTGTATAAAGTACTGCTTGGAAAACAAGGAAAAGATGCATAACAGTATACTTGATTACCCCACTCCAATATAAAGTTTCCAGTGTAGTAAAAAAAATAGATTTTTACAGCTAATACAGTACATTTGTATCCATTTATAAAATTCATTCTTACAATAGTTTGTATTTTTATGTGAAATTTTGAATTTGAATAGAACAGGTGAACGTTTATATAATACTACTTAATCAGTGTGCACTGTATATAATCACTAAATTGTAACACAACAATTATAGAAAATAATAATGTGTATTGCAGGTTAGCATCTTCATGACTCACTTAAGTAACTATGGCAATGACCGGCTGGCCTTGTATACATTTGAATCTATCATCAAGTTTGTGAAATGCTGGACAAACCTCAACCTACGCACTGTACCACCACTTCAGCTCGGAGAGAAATATTTCCATCTCTTTCCAGAAGAGAGAGATCCCATTTGGGGTGTAAGTGTGGCTTCTTGCTTTACTCTCTTGACCTCTTGTATCTCAACAGGAGTAGCAGTGACTAGTGTGTCTCAGCAGGTAACCTTCATGATTGTAGACCATGTAGTATATAATTATGAAGGTTATTTATTGTGCCTGATACTTCTTGGCATGTTAAATACGAATATTGAAACTCGATTTGTTGTCAGAGGACATAAATTGTAAAAAATTAATAGGATAGTAGATATGTGACTAGATTGGGTGTAGGGCACAGGGATGAGTGTTAATTGGAAATATGATACATGTCAGTAGTTTAGTTTCTATGATTCACTTTTAATTAACTGCTGAGGAATAATAAAGTCCTCCCCTCTCCCCCATTATAGTATCCATGTGCAGACCGGCGACACCTGGAGATTTGGGCCAAGGAGAAGACCTGTGAACAGCTACCCAAGTTTTTGGTAATTGGTCCACAGAAAACAGGAACAACAGCTCTTTACACATTCCTTGCCATGCACCCTGCCATTGTGGCCAACTATCCATCACCTGAAACATTTGAGGAAGTCCAATTTTTCAATGGGAAGAATTATTATAAGGGGATTGATTGGTGAGTCTAATAATCCTCTTTGGGAGCCTCACAAAAAAAAAGGACAATTTTAAGCATATTTGATATTATGGATTTGCCTTAAGAGTGGTTTTAATGATTTTGCTACATTTTATTAGATTGTTGTCTCATTTGTGTACTGTATATTTATGAAACTCTAACATTATCTTTTCATAGTCATAACACTAATGGTTAGTCTGAGAATTTGTCTACAAACATGACATGTTTTTGGCTCCTCATATATCACACATCATATGCTGGGAAAATTTGTTTGGGATTTGAAGGGTTATGTTAATTTCTTAACAAATATAGTCATATTTTTAATGTCCATATTAACAGAAGTAGAATGACATGGAGAGTGTATAAATCTGTAGGGGAAGGAAGGCAGGGTAGGGGTCGTTCTTGAAAGGTTGGAAGGAAGGGGTAAGGGAGGTTTTGTGGGCGAGGGGCTTGGACTTCCAGCAGGCGTGCATGAGCGTGTTCGATAGGAGTGAATGGAGACGAAATGGTATTTGGGACCTGACGATCTGTTGAAGTGTGAGCAGGGTAATATTTAGTGAAGGGATTCAGGGAAACCGGTTATTTTTGTATAGCCGGACTTAAGTCCTGGAAATGGGAAGTACACTGCCTGCACTCTAAAGGAGGGATTCAGGATATTGGCAGTTTGGAGGGATATGTTGTGTATCTTTATACGTATATGCTTCTAAACTGTTTGTGTTCTGAGCACCTCTGCAAAAACATTGATTATGTGTGAGTGAGGTGAAAGTGTTGAATGATGATGAAAGTATTTTCTTTTTGGGGATTTTCTTTTTTTTTTGGGTCACCCTGCCTCAGTGGGAGATGGCTGACTTGTTAAAAAAAAGAAAAAAAAAATTAACAGAACATCCTAGGTAGTAGGTTGGTAGACAGCAACTGCCCAGGGAGGTACTACCGTCCTGCCAAGTGAGTGTAAAACGAAAGCCTGTAATTGTTTTACATGATGGTAGGATTGCTGGTGTCCTTTTTTCTGTCTCATAAACATGCAAGATTTCAGGTACGTCTTGCTACTGCTACTTACACTTAGGTCACACTACACATACATGTACAAGCATATATATACACACACCCCTCTGGGTTTTCTGCTATTTTCTTTCTAGTTCTTGTTCTTGTTTATTTCCTCTTATCTCCATGGGGAAGTGGAACAGAATTCTTACTCCGTAAGCCATGTGTGTTTTAAGAGGTGACTAAAATGCTGGGAGCAAGGGGCTAGTAACCCCTTCTCCTGTATAAATTACTAAATTTAAAAAACTTTTCTTTTTCTTTTTGGGCCACCTTGCCTTGGTGGGATACGGCTGGTTTGTTGAAAGAAAAGATGATGATTAACAGAACATGTCTGAGTACAGTATTTTTTAATCCTTTATTGAATAATGTAACTTAAATAGATATTATTTTAAAGAAAAAAGTAATTACTTGAGTACCTCAAAATATTTCTTTGTAATTTTATTTTTAATTGTTTTTTGTAGGTATATGAAGTTCTTCCCAGTTCCAGCCAATTCTTCCAGCAAGTTTTTGTTTGAGAAGAGTGCCACATACTTTGAGGGAGAAACAGTGCCACAGAGAGTTAGAGCTCTCCTACCCAGTGTCAAGTTGGTGAGTCTTTCTTGCTCTTGCAATACTAACAGTGTTGGTATTGCTGTACTCTGGTACATTCCCTTTTTTTGTCTCCATAGGTAAACTTTTTTGATGAGTAAGACATGTCAGCAGTTGGTATCTTTATTGACCTATTATTGAATATGTCTTACTCATCAAATTTGCAGTATTGTTTACCATATATAACTTCTTTCTTTCAACAGATATTTTAACACAACACCCACCCTTTTTTTCTCCCCTCATCTATTCTATGGTTTACCTCATTTTTCATAAACCTATTTGCTAACACATCCACTCCCTAATATCTTAATACATCTACTTCCTCCTTATTCCTTCCCTCCATTCTGATACTCAGTCCATCATTGCCTAAATTTTTTGTTACCCTCATCACCTTGTTCGTTTTTATATTAAGTTTTGACTTCCTTCTTTTACATACCCTCCCAAATTTATCCACCAACCATTACAACTTGACTTAAGAATCCCCCAAAGGAAGTGTCATAGCTGTGATAACTCTCACTTTGTATCAGATCCAACATCTTTTAATCCCACACCTGATGAGGATCTGGTAGACATTTGACAGCCCTAGCCTTGGGTCGTGCTGTGAAAGTAGGAGCTCCAAAATCGCAAAGGGCATCATAGGCAAGCCCTGTTTTAAGTTGCCCTATTATGAGTTACTGCTATTAACCTAGGATATAGGGCAAGGAGGAATAACACCTTGTAGGAGTGAGGAAGAGCCAGTTGTGAGTGTGGGGGAAGTCTGAGGCAGTGGGTAGAATGAAAGGGGGTAAGACAGCTGGGATTGATGGGATAAAGATAGAAATGTTAAAAGCAGGTGGGGATATAGTTTTGGAGTGGTTGGTGCTATTATTTAATAAATGTATGGAAGAGGGTAAGGTACCTAGGGATTGGCAGAGAGTGTACTTAGTTCCTTTGTATAAAGGCAAAGGGGACAAAAGAGAGTGCAAAAATTATAGGGAAATAAGTCTGTTGAGTATACCTGGTAAAGTGTATAGTAGTTATTATTGAAAGAATTAAGAGTAAGATGGAGAGTAGGATAGCAGATGAACAAGGAGGCTTTTGGAAAGGTAGGGGGGGGGGGGTGTAGACCAAGTGTTTACAGTGAAACATATAGGTGAACAGTATTTAGATAAGGTTAAAGAGGTTTTTGTGGCATTTATGGATTTGGAAAAGGCATATGACAGGGTGGATAGGGGGACAATATTGCAGGTGTATGGCATAGGAGGTAGGTTACTGAAAGCTGTGAAGAGTTTTTACGAGGGTGGTGAGGCTCAGGTTAGAGTATGTAGGAGAGAGGGAGATTATTTCCCAGTAAAAGTAGGCCTTAGATAAGGATGTGTGATGTCACCGTGGTTGTGCAATATATTTATAGATTGGGCTGTAAGAGAAGTGAATGCGAGGGTCTTGGCAAGAGGTGTGTAGCTAAAAGATAAAGAATCAAACACTAAGTGGGAGTTGTCACAGTTGCTCTTTGCTGATAACACTGTGCTTTTGGGAGATTCTGAAGAGAAGTTGAAGAGGTTGGTGGATGAATTTGGTAGGGTATGTAAAAGAAGAAAATTAAAAGTGAATATAGGAAAGAGTAAGGTTATAGGATAAAAAGATTAGGTGATGAAAGATTGGATATCAGATTGGAGGGAGAGAGTATGAAGGAGGTGAATGTATTCAGATATTTAGGAATGGACGTGTCAGCAGATGGGTCTACGAAAGATGAGATGAATCATAGAATTGATGAGGGGAAAAGGGCGAGTGGTGCACTTAGGAGTCTGTGGAGACGAAGAACTTTGTCCGTGGAAGCAAAGAGGGGAATGTATGAGGGTATAGTTATACCAACACTCTTATATGGGTGTGAAGCATAGTTGATGAATGTTACAATGAGGAGAAGGCTGGAGGCAGTGGAAATGTCATGTCTGAGGCCAATGTGTGGTGTGAATATAATGCAGAGAATTCGTAGTTTGGAAATTAGGAGGAGGTGTGGGATTACCAAAACTATTATCCAGAGGGCTGAGAAGGGGTTGTTGAGGTGGTTCGGACATGTAGAGAGAATGGAGCGAAACAATGACTTTGAGTGTGTATAAATCTGTAGTGGAGAGAAGGTGGGGTAGGGGTTGGCCTAGGATAGGTTGAAGGGAGGGAGTAAAGGAGGTTTTGTGTGCGAGGGGCTTGGACTTCCAGCAAGCATGCGTGAGCATATTTGATAGGAGTGAATGGAGACAAATGGTTTTTAATACTTGATATGCTGTTGGAGTGTGAGCAAAGTAACATTTATGAAGGGATTCAGGGAAACCGGCAGACCGGACAGGAGGCCTGGAGATGGGAAGTGCAGGGTCTGCACTCTGAAGGAGGGGTGTTATGTTGCAGTTTTATAACTGTTGTGTAAAGCACCCCTCTAGCAAGACAGTGATGGAGTGAATGATGATGAAAGTTTTTCTTTTTTGGGCCACCCTGTCTTGGTGGGAATCGGCCAATGTGTTAATAAAAAAAATAAAACAATAACTTAATACATATGGGGAATTACAGCAGAGCCCTATCTGTCTTCGAGAGAGAATTTGATAAATTCTTTGAGTCAGTTCATGATCTCTGGGCTCTAGTGGATATTTTTGACTTGTGTGGCTAGCACCAGCAACCTGGTTGATCAGGCCATCAGTCAGGAGGCCTGGGCTGGGACTGAGCTGTGGGGGTGGTGATCACTGAAATAATCTTCCCATAACCTTCAGGTAACTCCTCTGTATACTGTACATAAAAAAAAATATAAGTGCCTGACACCTCATTAGTAATAAAAACACTTGCTACACTTCCCCATAGGTTATATGTTTAGTGTGAAGATATTTTTTGCCTGGAATCATGACATTTTAAGTTGCCCTTTTTAAAGGGGTCTTTTTGTACCTTACATATGATATTATAGGAGGCTTATCAGTAGTTAACCTTGATACATATTCCTTCAAATAATAACTTAGTACAATATGTTAGCAAAGTGTTTTGTAAGCAGTGAGGTGCTGTAGTATACGTACTTAGGTAGGGGAGATGATTTTGAGTTAGCATTTAATTCTGTTTCATAAAATTAGTTTTGTATTACAACAAATTTACCTATGGCAGAAATATTTTTTCAGTACCACTTAGCAATAGATGAGTGTTTAAGGTAAAGATTGTATTAACTCCTTTCCCAGTATACAGATGGAATTGTGATACTTTTTAAAAAGATAATCAGATAATTATTGTCTTATATATACTCTCAGGTGATCACAATCATTCCTCCTAGCAAGCGAGCGTATTCTTGGTATCACCACATGCGTGCTCACAATGATCTCACAGCCCTACAGTATAATTTCCATGAGGTGATCACAGCTACAGAGAAAATGCCACGACAACTCAGGACTTTGCGCAACAAGTGAGTACAGAAACGAGTATCATTTATTATAATTTTAATCTTTCATGTGAACAATTTCAGTGATCTGTTGTTCATTTTTCTCTAGTAATTTTTTATCCTAAAAATCATTAGGTGCACTAATTACATGAAAGACATGGGTGCATCATAGTGTTTTTTTATTAAATTTTAGTTCACTGTGTTGTATAAAATTAGAATAAAAGCTAAATTAGATATATGGAATACACAAGCATAATGCAAAAAATAAACACCTTTCTGGTATCTCACATTATTGACTAAACCTTAATAGAAACTCCATACAAATAGAGGTTGTTGTATTTTGAACTATCAAAAATTCTCTTCTGCACTTGATGTGTTTTTCCCATTTGTATGTTTCTAAAAGTTTTGACATTAATTTCTTTAACAATTATTTTGCAGATGCTTAATTCCTGGAATGTATGCTAAACATATAGAAAGATGGCTTGACTACTTCCCTGCCTCACAGCTGACTATCATTGATGGAGAGGAGCTCAGAAATGACCCAGTGTACATTATGAATGATCTTCAAAAGTTCCTCAATATTGAGCCATTTTACAACTACACTGAGCACTTAAGGTACAGACCAAGATATATTTTAGGCTTCTTTACAGCATTCAGATTTCAGTACTATGATGTACTAGCCCTTGGATTTTATATATCTAACTGTATATGCAGTTGATTTTTTTTATTTTAAAGGTATTTTCTTCAGTTGCTACACTTGATAGTAACCCTTTGCTTGGCAAGAAACTCTGTAAGGGAGGGATTTCAGTGTGCTGTTAATATATTATACTACGGTGCATTTTAAGACTTTTTTACTATTATGATTTTTGCTCTAACTTTTATAGTTCCTTTGTTATGAGTGTCTGAATGTGAGTCTATGTTGTCAATATTACCACTTATGAGCTATTGTGAACAACCCTCTGCTAGGTCTAGAATGACACTGCTTTACATCTCAATTCCTCACTTCACTTGGGAAGGAACAATCACTTTTTGAATGGTTACGTTTGGATGAAGAAGAGTTCCGCTGATAGAGGCTATGTCAGAAATTCCATGTGCCTTTGAAAGGCTCTTAAAAGGGCAAATGAAAAGGTAACAGTATAGTGTTACTTGCTTGACAAAGGGATTGAGCATGCTTGATAATACTGTACTATACTGTGCTGTGTTTCTAAAGGGATGTTTTTAGAATAACTTTTTTTTCATTAGTGTTGTCTTTATTTGTATTCACACTAATACTTCAATGTTTGGTAAAATATTACACTTGTATAATATCTGAAGATCAGATTTATTTTCCTTTGGTTATAAATGTTTATTTTTCTTAGATTTTTTTTTTGTTGCCATTCTTGTTCTCTTTTAGGGTTGGGGTTTTCTTGTGTGTATATTTTTAATACTGGTACTTGGTACAAACACATGACACCTTCTTTGTAAATATGGTAGGAAGCCCAGCCTACTGAGTCTCTAGTTAAGCATTTGACATTAATTATTCCTGGTAGAAATGTCTTGTGATTTGTCCATGTTAATGATTTTTATGATACAACCTTTCTGGAGAATAACTTATCCATGGTTCCCTAAACCAAAATAAACACTAACCGACCCTCCTGCCGGAATGGATGCTGTTTCGGTTATCCGAGTAAGTTTAAAAAAAAAAAAAAGTAATGCTAATCTGTCCTGGCTGTCAGTTCATGTTTATAGTTAGTTGTGTAAACACTTGAAAAAATGTACAGGACAGTACTATATTTATAGGAAAATGGGTAGACATTATTTCACACAGTGATGTTTATACACAGCTAACAAAGTCAGAATATAATTCCATGAATCACAAAGAGTGACTAGTTTGTACTAAAAATAATATGAATATAAAAATATAACAGTATTTAATAAAAATAAAAACTAAGTTTTTTTTTTTTTACAAATTTGAATAGGTGACAAGTGGACAGGTTGATGAATGACTGAGCAGATAGTGGGCTTCTCTTTTTAAATGGGAATGAATAATTTTGTTGAAAAAAAAAATAAGAAAATGAGTAAGTCTGTTTTACACAGTGAATTTGGTGGCCAGACTTGTTTTGTGTTAGGTGGGGATATTGCAGTCAGAGAGTAATCTGAATTGTGAAATTGTGATGTCAGCACACTTCTGGAGAGATAAGCTATTGAATGAATGATGGTGAATGTGCTTTCTTTGAGTCATTCTGCCTTGATGGGAGATAGCTGTTGAGGTAAGATGATTATACATAGTCTGTTGTATTTGTTGGGAAGCAAAGCATTTCAGCAGTGTTCCTCCCTTATGCCTTCTAACTCACTTGATACCAGAAAGTTTGTGGAAATGTTTATAATACCAACTTATTTTAATGGAATGCTTTATGTAGCCATTTGAGCTGAAATCAGAACTAATTAACCATTTCTGACATATCAGCTGAGGAAGCCAAAGAAAGATTGGAACATGTGATCTGATATTTGGTAGCAGAGAAACAATTTTAAGTATCTGAGGCAAGGCAAGAGTTTTATAAAGGAATAGAATCTGAGAGGCTAACATTGCAAGAGGGTATGAGTGATTGGAAAAGAAAATCCTGGTGAAGGTCTGGAAGGAATATGCAGAGGTGGTAAGATATCCTGCACAACAAAATTTGGTGGATGCTGAATTTGTAGAAGTGGCAAAGAGATACAAAGCAGCAGCCTGAACATCCATCACTGGGTATGCAATTGGTAGAGCCGGTTGCACAGACAAGAGCACCTGAGGAAGAAAACAGAGATGTGGGAAAAGATTGAAAGAAATAGGATGTAACAGTTATACATGTAGAAGTTTCTGAGCGAACCGTTTTCAGATAGTCATTGGAGATGATCATCTTGTTAAGACATTCAACTAAATACTTTGTTTTTCAAGAATCATCTTGAAAAGTGGTGGCTGAGTGGTTGTATGGAAGGGAGTCAAGATTAGAGGCAGGGTTGATATCAGCAAGTATCACATGCAAGTTCTCCCCATGAGAAAAAAATAATAATGATATAATTAAGTTAAGCACTAAATCACATAAGGAAAGAGAGCTGGTAGGATAATTTGTGGTACTGGTTGAGAGCCTAAAAATCAAGCCAGTGAATTCAAAGGAGAACCAGAGCAAGGTTATCAACCCAAGTTTCAGGATAAGCGTGTACCATAGGTATGGTTTGGAATTGCTGGTGGAATGATGTTCACTTGTGATGATTTCAGTTGTTTAGGTATAGGAAGAATGAATAACTTGAAACTGAGCTAGAAGATCATCTTGTAGAATGAAAGGAACAAATAAAAGACTACAAATAATTGTTAGGTGACTTGTCATTTAGAGGACACAATAAATGTGCAAAAGCCAGGAAAATGACCAGGTGGCTTATGAAAATATTAAAAACAAAGGCAGTGACATTGATAGCACTTTTCTGATTTGAATGTTGTTCTGTACTCGCAGCTTCTTTCTAGGCAAGAGAGATAGCAGAGCTGAAAAATGTAGGGGTCATAACTGCTCACATAGAATCCATAAAACATCTAAACTACAGGAAACACCTAAAAGCACCTGGATTATTCTCTCTGGACTAGAGAAGTGAGTTATACCTGATAATGTATAATGGAAGATAATTGAAAGCCTGGTTCCCGATTTACACCCTGGCATGACAACTGAATAGAGTGAAAGAAAAAACTCTGTGAATAGCACAAACTTTTATCAGCAGAAATCAGAAAATAATGTCAGACTGAAGGTGGAAATTTTTCAAGAGGAAACTGGATTACCATATCCAGCAAATTCCATCTCAGCCAGACTTTGATGGCTATGTGGGTCTGCAGGTCACTAGCACAAATAGCTTGGTTGACTGGACAGTCAGAAAAGAAGCTTTATGTGAGGCTGGGCTATGAGGATAGAACCCTCAAAACAGATCACAGATAACCATGTTGTTGGATGCTGGTGCATCCAACAGCCTCTGGTGCAGTGACATGTATTGTTCAGTAATTGCAATGTTTCTGTAGAGGCTTGACTTGAATTGAGCATACTGATTTTTTTTAATGAAAAGACTCCTTGCTTGAATTAGTGATGGGTATTTTCATAGACTTGTTTCTTCTTACTGTCAGTGGACCAACAAGTCATTTCTTCAAAGTCACACCAGGACTGGTTGTCCTTACAATCTTCTTGGCACTTGTAGACTTATTTCACTACTACACGTTGGATATACCAGGGCATCGTAACTGTAGAACACATCTTACTTGATTGTTCTACATATCTTACAGTATGACATCTTTTCATGCCCTGCTATGCTTATACTGTTGTTCCTCCTCCTCTCTAAAGTACTATCTTTAATGTAATTGCTGTCCACAGGTATATGTCAGAGATAACTTGTGTGATTTTTAATTTCTAGGCTAATCTTGTCCTTTCTCTTCACTACCTTTTGTATCCTATACCTGTCATTCTTTTCTGCCAGTGTGCATTCTCCTCTGTCAAGACAAATACATCGTGTGTCATTCTAGTGTAACACCTGTTGCAATGACTTTTAGAAACACATTGTTTCACCCTCATAGTAAAATGAGTGACTGGTAAGTGAAAACTAGCTGCTCATTATCAACAAAGTACACAAGGTTTATACAATTTCCTTATAATATTCAGGACCAAGTAAAACAAGATAAAACTACACAGTGTTATTTTGTGGAAAAAAAAAAAAAAGTCTTAAATAGAAGATCATGGATGAGTGACTTTACACCCACGAGCATGCATCATTGACTACAGACTGAGCAGGTATATCTTCACCACAGTTGTCTTTGGTATAAATATATTTAGTATATTTTAATTCACTACTTAATAGTGTCTAAGTACTGTACCATCTTTATTGGGTCTACACTTAGGAATAGCTTTATTTCAAAACACTATAGGATAGTTTTATTTCAAAGCATATTAATTGCACATTTTTTGCTTTAAATTTTTTTGCATGTTTAGGTGATGGTTGACCTTTTAATGTTATTGTTACTCAGCTTTAACACATATTGGCTGTTCCATTTGTATAGTATCCTAACCAGTATGTGGATTTCTCTAGTAAATAATTCAATTGCTCCTTCCAAAGTCATCAGTATTGTACTCGAGTCATTTCTTATGTCTGAATATTCTATGCAAGACAGCATCCCTCAAGGAATAAGATAAATTTGTTGTTATATGTGCAATCACAGGAGAGTAATTGTACATTAACAGGTTTATTAATACAGTATTACTGTAATATTCAACTGCATCTAATGTTTAGTGTTTTGCAAGATAATAACATGGAGCTGTTCAAACTGTATAGTTTTGCTGTGGTAGTTTCTTACTCATTTTAGCTAATCTGTTAAATTTAGGACCATTCAACTGTATGTGGACTATTAAGTTGCTGACTTAGCTGATACCTGTTAGTTATTATGGTGCATATATCATAAACACATTAAAATTGATTCATCTATTGTACTGAGAAGCTCTGAATGTATTTTGAGTAAAATATAATTTTTCTCTTACAGAATTTTACTTTTTAATGTTGAATAAGAAAAGCTGTATGAAAATATGACAATACAGAATTTGCAAAATGTATTTTCAGGTATGACAAAAGGAAAGGTTTCTTCTGCCAGGTGATAGAGGAAGACAAGACTAAGTGTTTGGGCAGGGGAAAGGGTCGTGTCTATGCCCCTATGAATGAATCCGATGCTAAATTACTGAAGGTATGATTGTTTTTCTTACATTGTGCAGCACTGTATGGTCTGTGCAAGTTTAGCACTTACTTATTAATACTGAAGTAATTTTTTTTATACCATAGATTGTGCATTATTTGTTGAATCACATTTATTTTATTTTATTTTTGAATAACTCAAGTGAAACCTCAATCTTAGTATACAGTGGACCCCCGCATACCGATTTTAATCCGTGCAAGAGGGCTCATTGGTATGCGAAATAATCGGTATGCGAATGAATTTTCCCCATAAGAAATAATGGAAATCAAATTAATCCGTGCAAGACACCCAAAAGTATGAAAAAAAAATTTTACCATGTGAAATATACATTTTCCTACACACAAAGAGAAGGATACATGCACAATAGTAGAGTAGTACATGCACAGTATATATTGTGCATGTACTAGTCTACTAAATGAAGAATAAATGACACTTACCTTTATTGAAGATGCAGCAATGACTGATGAGACACTGTGTCCTGGGAGTGCCTTTTCCTCCTGAGTACTGTAGGTCCTGTTTGTTATTTTCTTCCAGAACATGCCTTATCACACTGTGTATGTCACTACGATTCTTAAATCTCTCAAACCAACCTTTGCTGGCTTTAAATTCACCAATATGAGCACTAGTTCCAGGCATTTTTCCCTGTTCACCTGGGTGTTAGTCGACTGGTGTGGGTTGCATCCTGGGAGACAAGCTTAAGGACCCCAATGGAAATAAGTTAGACAGTCTTCGATGACACTGACTTTTTTGGGTTATCCTGGGTGGCAAATCCTCTGGGGTTAATTGTTTCTTGGTATATTCTCAATAAGCCACACCAACAACAGTGCTACAGCAGCAGCAGACGATGCTACAGCAGCAGCAGACGATGCTACAGTAGCAGCAGCAGCAGCAGACGATGCTACAGCAGCAGCAGCAGCAGACGATGCTACAGCAGCAGCAGCAGCAGACGATGCTACAGCAGCAGCAGCAGCTGACAGTGCAGCAGCAGCAGCTGTACCACCAATAGTAGCGATGGTTGATTGGGGTTTATTACACAACCTGGCCAGCTCGGAGACACGCACTCCACTTTCATACTTATCAATGATCTTTTTCTTCATCTCTATAGTAATTCTCACCCTTATTGCTGTAGGGTTGGCACTAGAAGCTTTCTTGGGGCCCATGGTCACTTATTTTCCAGATAAAATCACCAAAAACACTGTAATAATACGAAATGTTACGATTGTATGCTTGGATGCTACCGCGGAGGCTGGCTGGTAAACAATGCCACCAGCGGAACATGTGAGGCTGGCTAAGGCGCACATTGGACGCGTCTCGGACGAACAGCGGTGAGCGGGTTTTTAAGCGGTATGCGAGGCAAAATTTTAGCGATAAAATGTATCGGTATGCGGATTAAACGTTATGTGATGCCAACGGTATGCGGGGGTCCACTGTATTTAGAAAAACTAATACACAAATTTTTATTTCAAAATTCTAAAGATTATAAATTGCATATATTACATACATATACTCACCTCACATATTCAGAAAAATTTTTGAAAACTATGTGAATGCCTGCTATTATGCTTTGGAAAGTCATAAGTTGTGTTGTTAATGGCACAGCTTAAAAAAATTGTCATAAAGTATGGTACCTGAAAGTATTAGTGGAAGTGAATGATGTCACTCATATAGAAAGTGTTAGTGACTCAGTGTTAGTATGGGGGAATGTAAAATCACATACAGAGAACATTATTGTAGGGTAACATAGATCGTGCATCAAGACAGTGTTGGGGAATGTTGTAAGTGCCATACCCAGAATGTGTTAGTGCAGGAAAAAGGAAATTACGTGTTGAAAAACTATGATAATGTAGTGGGGGCATTGTATACCTATAGTCAGACTGTAGTGTTATATATGAATGGAAGTCCACTATGTAAATGTGCCTTGCAAGTGGCTGTAATGTTGCAAAATGAATATCTATGCTTTAAAATATCAATCCATTGAAATACATTTAACTGTCATTTCCTCAATTCTTATTTTTCATCCCAGTTCAGCTATCTGTTTTTGTGGGTACTAACACATGATGTCTTTACTTAACAGGAATACTATCAACCCTACAACATAGCACTGGAGAAGCTTCTAACCCGACTTGACTACCCAGTACCTGGCTGGCTGGAAGATGAGTTGCAATAGATATCACAGTAGGAGTAGGGGGATGGGGGCAACAAACTTGCCAGGCAGAGTAATGCTTAGCAAATTATATTTAGTGTACATCTTTATGGGTGATATTCACTCAAGGAGGTGTATGGTAGCTTCGTTATTTGGTCATTAACTCTCGTAATATTATGAGGGATTTAATGGCTTTCGTGCAGAAGTCATTTATTTATTGCTATAATTTTAGTGTAATTTAACTTTTCCAGAAATAAAACAGATCTTTATAAATCTTTAGCAGATAAAATTGAAGACTCAAGTACTATAAGCATGTCTAATAAATTATAAGAATAATAGTTTTATTTTAGAATATTGAAGAATTTTCACTATACCGGTATAACAAATATACATGGAGAGAAACATATAGATAGCCATCTTGCTTTGGTGATCAAGTGGCCTATGTAGATACATGTTGTACAAAGAAAGATTTTATTATTATTATTATATACTGTATTTATATTCTGAGGAAGAGGAGGATTGCTGATGTGGTTTGGGCATTTAGAGAAGATTAAGAGGGATATGATGATGGAAAGAGTGTAAATCAGGAACAGAGGGTAGGAAGGTTAGGGGGTGTTCCAGGAATGATTGGAGGAAGTAGGGTAAAAGAAATGAGTTTTAGGTGCCTGCACATCCAGCAGGATGAGAGCGTATTTGATAGGCAAGAATGGAGACAAGTGGGTTTTTAATGGAGGTGCTGTTGGAATGTAAGTACAGTAACATTTATGAAGGGATTCAGAGAAACCTGTTAGCCAGACTTGAATCCTGGAGGTGGGAAGGGCAGTGGCTGTACTCAAACTAGGGGTGAGGATATTGTAGTCAGCACACTTCTGGCAAGACAGCTTTTGAATGAATGATGGTGAATTAGTTTCCTGAAGGTATAAATAAAGCCCCTTATATTTATACATAGTAGAACACGATAATCTTAAAGTGATTGGGGCCAAGGGTAACTCGAGAGATCACTGTTTTCTGACCTAGATAAGTTGATAATCTCTTGTATACATATTAAATGAAGAAATGTGTATTTACCACTCATTGTAGTAGTTGTCCTCTTCCTAAAGTTGTACATATGAGGTAGAACATTTTAATATCTGGTGTAGACAGAGTGGGAACTGCATAATTTTATTGTTATGCATGATACATTGAAGTGTTGCTAGGTTAGGCCGAAAATTAAATATTTACTCTTTTAGTTGTTTTAATACAGGTCTTGTATATAGACAGTGAATACAGTTCTGAAGCGTTTGAAATGGAGAACAACGTAATATTATGTAATTGATAAATCACAGCAGGTTCAAATGAAACACTACATCTTGGTATATCAGGCAGGCATCCATGCTCTTACATGTCAGTTTTATGTCTAATAAAACTAAGTCATTGATTCCATGACAGTGTGTATGTTTAGTTGGAAATGGGATGTGGAATGCTGATAAATCGTAAAAAAAAAAAACCACTAGTTCTAGTTGCAGTAGAGTCCTTCATTGGTACACTTTACCCATGGGTGGGCTTTATTGGTATGCTTTACCTCCGAGTGGGCTTTTTCAAGTGGCCTACATATTTCTTTTAACATACCAGCCGTCTCCACCAAGGCAGGGTGACCAGAAAAAAAAAAAAGAAAAATGCTCGTGACTCATTCTTATCACTGTCCTGCCAGAGGCATGCCAACACTACATATGAAAAGCAAATAGCTTGAGGTTTTAAGTTAAATTGAGATATGGCAGGCAGCTTACTAACCCATGTTAGGTATTCCTTTACCTAGAGCAGTTCATGTTATAGAGGTTGCTAAAGGCAAGTGAACATGGGATAGGGCCATACTATTGTTCCAAGAGAAAGATAATTTCAAGCATCTATACTTGACATCATCTATAGTAATGCTTACACTATTATCAAACAAAATAGTGGCATGTTCACGTTAGTCAACCTCTATAGGAGAAATTGTTCCATAATAGGGGTTCTTAGCCTGTTTTGGGCTATGCCTCCTATCACAGTTGGCCCTCATCTCCATGCCTCCCTCCTTCCATCATATAAAATTTAATTGTAAAAATTAAAATAAAAAACTTATTTAAATAGGAAAATAGTTTTCATTCTTAACTTCATTATTTTAAACTATTTGAAAAGTCGGTTTAGGGAGCAAATCAGATACATAACATATAAGGTGAGAATATATAATTTAGTGAGATTTTTTAGACCTTCTTTCCCCTCCAGTTAAGAACTGCCTCTAAAACCTTAGTTAAACTTAAAACCTTAACACACCTGACTTCTTCATTGTTTAAACTTTCTCATACCTATTATGCACTCGAAAAGCTTATCCATGGGTGAAACAGTGTCCCAATATAAAATTCCATTGCAGACAGTGTGTATGATTAGTAGTATAACATGCTGGCAGTCACTACATGAAGATGGTTTCAGGAAGAAAATGCAGAGGTGGTGTTGAAGCGGTTTGGCCATCCAGAGAGGATAGATCAGCATAATTACCAAGAGGGTGTATAAATGTAGGGTGAAAGGAAGGAGGGGGTTGGTATTGTCCCAGGAGAGAGGGTGTGAAGGATATTTTTTGTGCTAGAGGCTTGAACATCCTGTAGTTGTGTGTGAGTATAGAAGATTGGAAAAAGTGAAGACAGTTGGTTTTGTGAATTTAACATGCTGTTGGGTTAGTAAATTAACATGCATGAAGAAATTCAGCAAAACCAGTTAGCTGGACTCTAATCCTGGAGGTGCAAAATTCAGTGACTACCCTGCGAAGTATAAGTGATATTATATTATACAGTTTGGAGGCTCATTTGAAGTGTGGTGTCTGCACACTTTTAAAAAAGGCAATACAGCTATTGAATGAATGATGGTGAATGTTTCCTATTTTTTTTTGTGTCACCCTACTGTGGAAGAGAGGCAGTGGTAAAAAAAATTAGATGGCAAGGACAATGATACCAGTGGTGCTATATGCAACATGTGTTGTTTTTATAAAAACAGTAAATACAACCTAAATAAAATACGTGTAAATTGAGTAAATGCGTTTTGAGACCTTACAGTGAGGTGCATCTCCTTCGAGTATCATATTGCTATTGCCTGTGTGTGTAGAATAAATACTTAAATATTGTAGTGTACCTATGAAAAAAATATTGAATATTTTATACATATTATATCATAATGAAATATAGGTACAGAGTATGCTTTGGTGTTATATGATTTTGTTTGAATGTGCTTCATTAGGACTCAGGACCCTAAGGTCTTCACTTCATATTATTATTAATACATTCATGGGGGAGGGGAAATGTTAAATTCCTAGGGACCATAAAGCGCCTTGGGGAGGGGGAAGCAACCAGGTTCGATCCTTTATATTATTTTTTCTGCAGTTATAAAAAGTTTTGCTGTCCTATAAGAGAAAATAGAGCATTGTCTGGCAAAACAAAATCTTATAATTAAAGAAGAGCTATGCAAGTTTTTTCTTAGCAAACAGTGGTAGATTAGTGAAATAGTTTACAAGGTAATAAGTGCTATAACCAATGGAAGCTTTAAAAATTGTACAATCCAGTAAATATTAAAGATAGGACACCACGAGCCTGTAGCTACAAACAGGTAATCGCAAATAACTGCAAGCCTCTTGTGTATTCTAGTAATCTGTAAATGGAGCTAGTAACAGTTATGGATCTGCAGTGGAAAGTATCATACTTTAATGTAGCTGGTTTAAAAAAAAAAATTGGATTTCTATTGCAGGGGTACAATGAATTCAGACTATATTCAGTTGAAGGCAATCTCCGAAGAGAGTAAATTTTTGAAGCATGAAGTCTTTATCAAGCCCATCTGTCATAGGCTGACACAGACAATGCCAATATAAATTTGAGAATGATGATGCAAATGGTATGTTAAAGGATTCATCTGTGTGAGGTAAAAATCATCCAGTAGGATAGATTTTTGTAAGGCTTGTAACTCAAGATGGGAGATATTTATTACCTTGGGAGAGCCAGGTAAGGTAATGTTCTGTTGAGCTTATTGGGTCTGCTGAATCTACACCAGTAACAAAAGGACAAGAGCCACTTGAGGTGAGTACTTGCCAATTTCTGCACCTTTCTTCAAATTACTCATAGAAGTGGTGGTGTTAAAAGTCAAGACTTCTTCTTTCAACACATCGGCCATATCCCACCGAGGTGGGGTGGCCCAAAAGGAAAAACGAAAGTTTCTCCTTTTACATTTAGTAATATATACAGGAGAAGGGGTTACTAGCCCCTTGCTCCCGGCATTTTAGTTGCCTCTTACAACATGCATGGGGCACGGAGGAAGAATTCTGTTCCACTTTCCCATGGAGATAAGAGGAAATAAACAAGAACTAGAAAGAAAATAGAAGAAAACCCAGAGGGGTATGTATATATACGCTTGTACATGTATGTGTAGTGTGACCTGAGTGTAAGTAGAAGTAGCAAGACATACCTGAAATCTTGCATGTTCATGAGACAGAAAAAAGGACACCAGCAATCCTACCACCATGTAAAACAATTACAGGCTTTCGTTTTACACTCACTTGGGAGGACGGTAGTACCTCCCTGGGCGGTTGCTGTCTACCAACCTACTACCTAGGAAAAGTCAAGACATATTAGTATTATTATATTAAAAAGAAAATTCTTCACCTGTATGGGTCATACAGCACTGCAGTGTGGTGTGTAAGGGTAGGATGGTTTAGTGGAGCTAGATGTTAGTGCAGGTGTAAAATTAATGTTTAAGTTGATGAAAGAGGTTAGTATGTTAAAAACCCAGCAAAGGAGTTTCCACTGAAAGAGGGACTTGGCGAGGTCACTTTGAATGGGTATGTCAGAGCATTGTAGATGAATAGTGAATTCTATATGCGCTCTGATACATGGAACAACAATAAAGTTAAAAAATATTAATATTCGCTATCTTCTGAGATAGGGTGACCCTCCTCCAAATGCATTCATCATCATTTGTTTTATAGATGTCTTGTCAAAGTGTGCAGCAACATCATGCAATTTTTTTTTTTTTTTTTTCAACAAGTTGGCCGTCTCCCACCGAGGCAGGGTGACCCAAAAAAGAAAGAAAATCCCCAAAAAGAAAATACTTTCATCATCATTCAACACTTTCACCACACTCGCACATTATCACTGTTTTTGCAGAGGTGCTCAGAATACAACAGTTTAGAAGCATACACATATAAAGATACACAACTTATCCCTCTAAACTGCCAATATCCCAAACCCCTCCTTTAAAGTGCAGGCATTGTACTTCCCATTTCCAGGACTCAAGTCCGACTATATGAAAATAACCGGTTTCCCTGAATCCCTTCACTAAATATTACCCTGCTCACACTCCAACAGATCGTCAGGTCCCAAGTACCATTCGTCTCCATTCACTCCTATCTAACACGCTCACGCACACTTGCTGGAAGTCCAAGCCCCTTGCCCACAAAACCTCCTTTACCCCCTCTCTCCAACCCTTTCGAGGACGACCCCTACCCCGCCTTCCTTCCCCCATAGATTTATATGCTTTCCATGTCATTCTACTTTGATCCATTCTCTCTAAATGACCAAACCACCTCAACAACCCCTCTTCTGCCCTCTGACTAATACTTTTATTAACTCCACACCTTTTCCTAATTTCCACACTCCAAATTTTCTGCATAATATTTACACCACACATTGCCCTTAAACAGGACATCTCCACTGCCTCCAACCGTCTCCTCGCTGCTGCATTTACCACCCAAGCTTCACACCCATATAAGAGTGTTGGTACTACTTTACTGTACTTTCATACATTCCCTTCTTTGCCTCCATAGATAATGTTTTTTGACTCCACATATACCTCAACACACCACTCACCTTTTTTCCCCTCATCAATTCCGTGACCTTCTGAAATGTGACATCCTCATCCCTCATCCTGCAGGCAGGTACTTTCCACCTCAAGGACTTAAGTCCGGCCATCCGGTTTCTCTGAATCCCTTCATAAATGTTACCTTGTTCACACTCCATCAGCTTGTCAAGCCGTAAAAACTGTCTCCATTCTTATGTACCATATATGGTAAAGCCCCTAACATGCAAAACCTTTGGCCCCTCCTTCCAACCATTACTTTGATGACCTCTGCCCTGCCTTCCTTCCACCCTAATTTATACACATTTTTAGTCATCATGTTCTGCTCCATCCCCTTTAGATGCCCAATTCACTTCAACAACCCCTCCTCAACCCTTTGAGTACTCCATAGTCTTCTGAATTCTCTAAATAATATTCATATCACACATCGCTCTCAAATATGACATCTTCACTACCTTGTTGTAATGCTACATTTCCATTTTTTGCCTCCATAGATAAAATTCTCTGTCTCCACAGATGCCTCAGCACAACACCCATCTTTTTTCTCTTCTGTGGTTCACCTTGTCTTTCATAGAATTGTCTGCTGACAGGTTCACTCCCAAATATCTGAATACAGTTATTTCCTCCAGAGTTAAGATATGTAGAAAAGAGGAAATTTTTTCCGTAAAAGTAGGCTTAGACAATCGTGTGTGTCAACCGTGGTTGTTTAATAATTTATAGACTGGGCTTGAAGAGAATAACTCGGCATGCTTGGCAAGGGCGTGGAGTTAAAAAGATAAAGAATCACACACAGGGGGGATTGTACAGCTCCTGTCTATTCAAACTGTGCTCTGGAGT